GATTCTACATCAGTCTCAAGGATTCTTTTAATCAATGTTTGATTTGTGACTTTCTTTATATACACTCCTGATCAAAATCTTAAGACCAGTCAAAAAATTGCAAGAATTTGCATTTTGCATTATTGGATCTTAAGAAGGTTCTAAGTAGAGCTTCACAATGTTAAAAGAAGAAATCAGCGTAAGAAACAAAAACTTTTGAGCGGGGAATTAATTGAAAACTGCATTTACACTCAAACATGATTTTTTTCAGCTGATCAAAAGTTTAAGACCATTGCTAAAAAAAAAAAAAAACCAAAACAGAAATCAAAGTGTAAAAAAAAAGGACTCAGTAATGAGTAGCTCCACCATTCTTGTTGATGACTTCAAACAATCGTTTAGGCTTGATGCCAGTGTTTCCAGGAGGCTAGTGGGAACGTTGCTCCAAGTGTTGAAGATGGCTTCATGAAAGGCATCCACTGTCTGGAACTGATGTCCATTTTTGTAAACTTCCCTTAATGGCCTTAATTTGGGTAGAGGATCGTCCCGTGTCTTGACAGACAGCCAATCAGATCCTGTGGCTCAGAGCTGGTGAATTTTTTTTGGGTCTACCACTTGACTTTTTTGTTCCATAACCCTCAGGATCATTTAAAAAATGCAAAATGACTGTCTCACTGCGTCCAACCTCAGCAGCGATGGCACGTTGTGAGAGGCCTTGCTTATGCAGCTCAACAATCCTACCACATTCAAAGTCAGTGAGCTTTTTTGCTTTTGCCATCAGGAGGTCTTGACAGTGTAAAGACTTGACAGGAAGTGACATGGAATCCAGATTTTTGCACAGCTTTTGGCTTTTAAAGATTATGGTCTTAACTTTTGATCAGCTGAAAAAATCATGTTTGAGTGTAAATGCAGCTTTCAGAAAATTCCCTGCTCAAAAGTTCTTGTCTCTTGCACTGATTTTTTCCTTTGACATTGTGAAGCTCTACTTAGAACCTTCTTAAGATCCAATAGTGCAAAATGCAAATTCTTGCAATTTTTTGACTGGTTTTAAGATTTTGATCAGGAGTGTGTTCTGGGAATGCAGTGTTTGGTATTCAATGAATCCAGTAATGTTGCTCTTGGAATGAATTGGTAAATGTTTAATTGATTTTAATTATTATGCATGATGCAACTGTATATTTGGAAAAGGTTAGAGTATGATGTTGAATTTATGCAAAATGTGTCAATGGCCCCTTTTGAATTATTTTGGTTGCCTCATTAATCCTTGGTGCCTCGCCTTGCTCTCCAGCTTCCATCTCTTCTTTCTCCTTCTGTCTCTTCATGTCTTTTCACAAGAACTGGATTAGTCCATTTTCAGTTGAACCTTTGTTCCTGTAGAGGACTAATCCAGTCAAAATTTTCGATTAAAAATAGAAAAAATTAATGGCTTGATAAGGTAAAGTGATGTGTGGCAAATACTGCATGCAAAAACAACAACAACAAAAAGGTTTTAGTTAAAATTGTTCATGTTAAGTTAAATGCATGTTTTAACCAGCGGTGCATGTTTTGATTAGTTTACTGTTAAAGCCATTGAATCCGATGATTGTTGGCCTGCTAGTAAGAGCCACACTGGCACAGCGGAGGGATGTTTTACTTTGAAGGAGTGAGAGTCCAAAGTGTGTAGCGGGTGGGTTTTTTGTTATCATTTATGGTCCAAAACAAACATCCACATTATTACACATTTCTGTTGTAGTTCTATGCGGGGATTTATATACCATTAATTCACAACAAATTTTATCTCAAGGCGCTTTACAAAAAATTAATTTCAATTCAATTATAAAAACTAGATTTGCAGGAATTGATTGTATAATATGCAACACCCACAATCCCGCTGTGAATTTTAGGCCTTGTCAGCTGGCAGTTTTTGGATGAGTGCATTGCCCAGTTGCACACTGATGTGGCTTGGGAGGAAGCTGGAATTGGACCTCAATTTATCTGACTGCAAGATGGCTGCCCGTCCCACTGATGCACATTCGACCCCCAATCACTCCCCAAAGAACAATATAGTCACATTATGGGTCCAAATTTCAAAATAGAGCCAGTGATGCAGACTGGTTCATTCTTCTGTTATGTTAGCACTTTGATGTTACTCTTGTTTTTATACCTAAAGGTTTGCCTTACACTTGGCAAGATATTCCTAAGGTGTTCAACATTTCTGTCCTTGTGGATTTGGAGAAATTCTCAGGGAACTTACAGTGGCTGCCCAGTAGGTGGCGAATGGCGGCTAGTCTGCCTTCCTTAGCCACATACATACAAGAAAGCAGCATTAAATAGCTGTTCACCACAGACACAATTGTGTATGAAAAGGGTTCATACAGCTGTTATCCATCTAGTGCTTAGAACAACATCAACTTCAAGGTCATTCATTGATCCGAAACAGAAGTTCTGCTGACATGAGGAACTTCTGCTTGCTCTGCTTTACTCAGTTTTGTTGTTTTTTACCTGACGGATGTGACTCCCACTGACAATCTGCAGCACCTAGAGGCCAAATACACAGGCAGCATTAAAGCAGAGGGTTTAAGTGAACCCTCTGCCAGTGAAACTGGTAAATATTATTTGCAAGGTAAAGTTATTTATGATGTAAAATAAGTTTTTAAGAAAGGAGGAACAAAAAACTGTACTCAACAATGAAACGAGCAGATATGAAAAGATGCAGAAGTTAACTTCTCATGCAAAAATTTGCACAAGATTTTTGCCTCATGCAAAAATCCTTTATTTTTGATCGGACTAGCGTAAGCTTATTTTTCTTCTCTGCTACTTAGAAGTTATGAGCTAGAAACATTCATTTAGTGGACACTAAATCAGATGCAGATGTCAGTTTGTTGTTAGTTGTTTCTTCTGTTTTCACATTTATTTAAAAAAGCAAAGAAAACAAGAACGAAAGATTTGATCGTCATAACCAATGTACCAACAAAACTTAATCATGGCCTGACTTCAGATGAATGGATGATTTACTTTGTGTTTGCTTGCAGAAATACTGCAGTTCTATATTGCAAGGTAAATGATGTCCAACTTCTCTATTGACTGTTTTTTTTTTTTTCTTTTCCCTTTTCAGATGCTTGTCAGGTGGAAGGGAGAGCTGGTCTCAGTGGAAAGGCAGTAGGTTGTTGATTTTCTAACAGCCTCTGCTGTCCCCTGGCTTAATGGGATCTCTTATCCACGCCACGCCGCTGTCGCACGTCTGGAGTTTCACTTTCCTTTCCCTGCATTCATTTGCCTCCTTTCCATTGTTCTGTTGCCCAACCTAAATGATTGAAGCAGTCTAATCCAAAGAGCTAACAGATTAGAGAGCAGAGATCATCCTTTCAATTCATTTATGTGACTACAGTATTCTCCCACTTCATCCTCTCCTCTTCAGTAACTCTTGCCTTCTTGCAGAAGCGATGTGCAGGGTGAGGGGGTTTGCCTGCTTTTAGATTTTTTTCTTGCCTCCACCTTGTGTCTTCATGTTTTGGGGGTTCCTTAGTGACCCCACCCTCTGTCAACCACCCCACACCTATTGCCACCACGGCCGGCCACCCCAATCGCCTTGTTGCCATGCCGACAGAGACATTGGCTCCTCCCCTGCCAAGTAGCAAGTCTGCTGGCCCCACCACGCCCTTCAGTTCCACTGTACCTCTTCGCATCCTGAACAAGGGCCCTGAGTACTTCAGACGGCAGGTGAAGTACTGCCGTAATGTCATTGTTGTGATCTTAATGAGGACTCCTGCAGCTGAGGTTGAAGGTCAGATTAGTTTTGGCCTTTTAATAATTTCTTTGAACCATTTATAATGGTGAAACAATCATGCGTTGCAATGTGGTGTCCATAGTTACTGCTCTGACCCTACACATGTTGAATGATTTTATTTTTAAAGATCTATTTTTTCAAACTTCTTCTAATTTAAAAGTGATTTTTAAATTCATTTCAGAGCTTAACAGCTATGTGTAAATTGTTAGAAATAATGTTCGTAGATGGCTAATTGTAATCCTAATTGGAGCGCTTCTTTTTTTTAAAATCACATGTCCTGTTTTAGCATTCCATGCAAACCATATGAAGAAGCTGGATGACTCTTCATATGGCATCCAGCTTCATATGAAGAAGATGAATGCTCCAGCCTGGTAAAAACCAGCCCCTTGTTCTACACAGTGTGGACCCTTGGCTAATGATAATTCAATAGTAACTTCAGGGGATGGTGTCCTAATTGCATGATTGACTTTATTGAATTACGGTTGCCCATGATATCATGTGACACAGGTTGTATTATGTAATTTGAACCTGTGCTGGTATGACCTCTGACCTTTTGGATTATGTAAGCGTGATTGTGTGTGTTTATGGACATGTGTTGTAGAAGTGTGTGCTAAACTGTCATTTGTACTTAAGAGGAAGGTCATAAGCCTTCCAGCGCTCAGCAGCCCGGAACTGCAGGGCGGGCAGCCTCTGTTCCTCCACAGACGCCCTCTTAGCGTTCTGCCTCAGCAGGAATCCGCCCGACAGGAAGGCAAGGAAGCACTTGAGTAGCAAAGACACACAGGGCTCACACTACTACTAGCAAAGGTTGAGCCTGGAATCCGGTCACCCCACCACCCAGGTGCTCGATTCACCCGGCACTGAGGATGGAGAACCCCATCCTCAGTGCCGCCCATTCAAAGAACAGAGAACTGTGCCCCCATATCGTCATTGCACTCCTGCAGAATGATGACCTTCTCAGCGTCAGAAGTCCTATTTTACTGCCCAGGGTTCAGACTCCATTCAAACTCACAGAGAACATCTTGGGTAAATTAAAAGCCTTTGGAAAGTTAAGCTTTGGAGAAAAAGCCTTTAGGAACCTGCTGTGGAAATGCACTCCTGTATATAGTTAAATGTCTCTGGGCAAGTAACATCTTGCTGGGTACTGCCTTTTGTAACTTCTGCAAGAGCTTTGCCACAGTATCTGACCACTCCTTCTGACAGAGTTGGTGAATATCTTTCAAAGAAGTTGGTCTACTGGCACAGACCCAACATCTATACGTGTCGTTTTCAATAGGGCTGAGGTCAGGCCAACATTATTCCAGATACTTGATGTTTTTCATTTTCCTGTTGGAACACCCAGTTATCCACCTTTCAAAACATTTGACCATCTCACTGTTGATCTAAAGGTGAAGGAGAAACCTGTTTGTGTGATGCTATTTACCATCATTCTTGAGAGTTATTAAAGCCCTTTGGCTTTAAATCTTCACTTTGACTTCCTCAAACATACTTGTGGTCATTGTAGCGAATGTTCTTTAGTTAGAACATTTCATTGATCTGATTGGTTTTTTGCAGAAGTATGCAGTAATTGGATCATACTGCTTTATGATGAAATGTTTATTTTTCCATGCCTGAAACTATTTACATAGAATCATTCATTTTTATTGTGTTCTCAGGCGGAACCAAACCCAAACCGCCTGAGTGCAGTTGAGAGACTGGAAGCTGACAAAGCAAAGTATGTCAAGAGTCAGGAGGTCATCAATGCCAAGCAAGAACCAGTCAAACCGCCTGTCCTGGCCAAGCCCACCGTTGACCCTTCCATCCTGTCAAAGAAAAGTCCTGGGATTGGTGGAGGAGGGAACGGAGCCGGGACCCCTTTCAAAGCGTCCAATAACAACGCAAAGTCAGACACATGTGCATCCAGCTGTGGCAGCGGCAAACGGGAGAATTTAAATCTGGAGATCTTAAAAAATCTGCTGAACTCATCATCGTCTTCAGCAGCAGGTTCTGAAGGACTGTCAGGTGGAGCTAAAAGTGCCGTCCTCATGAGGTCATCAGCCAGAATGGCCCGAAGCTGGACACCGTTGGGGTGAGTCACTGCTGACAGTTGCATATTGTCTGGAGTATTTCTAATGCCTGTTACACTGAGTTCTTCTAATTCTGTCTCTGATTTTAAAGCTAAGATTTGAACACAACACTAACAAAAAGCTGAAAGATATTTTTTTACTAACTTTGAGCTTACACCTCAGCAAAAACTGTTGCCTGATATAAAATGATTCTGAATTTGATCATTGGAAGATTGTGAAATTCTGATAGGAGAAACTATGCAGATATCTGGAGGAAACCAAGTCATTCTAAGGTCTTTATTTTGTGCACCACCTGTGAAGGCTGTTTTTAACATCAGTCATTTTCATAAAAAGCAAATATTTATGAACTGTCCAAGTTTTTCAAACCTTTAAGTAGCAGTCTTAACTATTAAAATGTCTATAGTTTTTTTTTTTCATTTTATATATGCAAATTGGAGACTATTATTGTCAACAATAAAAATCACTTATTTTTGCTATGTATTCTTTATTACTATTATTTTGTAGTAACTTTTTAGCTACTACAAAAAGTTACTATTTTTTGTAACTTATTTTGTCAAAAAGCCTTTGTTCATGGTTGATTTGTAAAAGCAATAAAATGTGGAAAAATCCAAGGGTGTAAATACATTTCATAGGGTACTGCATATATCTGGAATTTTATGTATTTACAGTACATGGAATTTCATCCAGTGGAAATCAAAACATTAAGAACCAAATGAATGGGAATTAAATTGCCAAAAACTTTAGTGTCTAAAAAATGAACTTTGAAAGGCAGTTGATGGCTAAAAATTAGGAAATGATGCAAAAGGAAATCATGAATAAATTACTTTAAATTACAAAACATGCACAAGTTTTTACAACATTTTCATCAACACAGCCATTGTTATGCATAAAAAAATTTCCAGAACCAGGACAATTTGCCCAGAGAGGGTTAGGGTGGCTTAGTAATATTTTCAAAACAATGGAACATCAAAACAGGATTTTTGACCTTCACAAACAACTATGCCTACAGGCTAAGAGTGAAGACCATTGCAGCATTTGATGAGCAGAATTTCTGGAAAAAAATTGTTTTAGATGCTGCAAAGATTCAGGAAGATCTTTAAATATCCTGTTTTTTGAGTGATTCAAATGAATATCAGTTATTTTACATAGTAGTCCTAATAAGAAGAGCAGTTATTTTATTTCAACTGAAAGGGGAAATAGTAAATGATATGTACTCATATAGCACTTCATCAAGTCCAGAGGACCCCAAAGCACTTCACACAGTGACTTTCGTTATTGCAGAATATGACTCTTTTACCAGCAACAGAGAATATTCAGAGATTTTAATTACAATGTTTTTCCAAAATAAACATTGTTAATTTAACAATTGCTATTTGGGATAGAATCTTAACCTTGTGCAAGGTTGCCAGTGCTCTATGGCTATGTATGTTTAAAAAAACAAAAGTAACTGTGTATAAATTCTTGACGTGTTAAAATCTACGTCATTAATTAAACAATATATATCTTCTGGAAATTTAAATCAGGTTTTGTTGGAGCCAAACGTGATGTGCTAGTATTAGCACGTAATGTGCTAATACTAGAAATTCCTAAAACTGTGTCCCAGAATAACACAGATGTGCAAGGCACAGAGTGTAGCAAATTCAAAAATAGAGTGATTACTATAATAACATTATGCTCACGTGTAGGTCCTCTGTGGTCACTTGTGTTTGTGGTGCTTTCTAATACTCTGTTTCTGTTTCTCCTTCTAGGATGCCACTAACATACAGATCCACCATGACCCTTAATGAGCAACCTTCAGACTCAGCTCCCAGTCCGAGCACCTCGCATTCTCTCAGATCCTTCTCTCACTCCTTAAAGGTCCCCCCAATGGCCAGCGGGGGGCGTCGCACTCCACAACAAGCAGGAAACCTGAACCTTAGCAGACGAGTCCAAGATGAAAGAGGATGTGAAGGAGGAGTTGTCCAGCGTTCTCATTCCCCACTGCCACCTCTCCTGACCTCCCACTCATCATCTGACCTCCTGCGACTGTGCAATGGTAAACCGCTGCGCACCAATCAGTCTAGCAGCTCCTCAGCTCCACCCCTCCCTCCCAAACCAAAGCCCACCTCTCTCCCTCCTGCACTGTCCTTGTCACTTCCACGTGCGCGTCCGCCAATGTCACCTACGCCCTGCAACAACACAACCCCACAGTCTTTGCCATGTGACTTTGGAGACCCTGCTAGTGCATCAGCCGAGTTGAACATTGATCTGGAGCAGGGTTCAAACGTGACTCGTCGTTCGTCGCTGCACAGATCCAAGTCGGACCTGTCGGATCGGTATGCCCGGGCCGGAGCGGATGTGGAACGCTTTTTTAATTATTGCGGCCTTGATCCTGAGGAGTTGGAGGCAGTGGGTCCCGAGAACTTTGCACGGGCCAACTCGGACATTGTCAGCCTGAACTTTCGATCAGCTTCTATGATCTCCTCCGATTGTGACCAGTCACGGCGATCTTCCAATGACGGAATATCAGAAGAGGATGAGGGGGAGGAAGAGGAAGAGGCCGGTGAGCGCGTCCCCTATGGCATCTCAGCTGTGGAGCGAAATGCAAGGGTTATTAAATGGCTGTATAGCATTAAACAAGCAAGAGAAACACAAAAGGTTTCCCATGTTTAGATTAGGTTCATGTGGACTGTGGATAGTCTCTCCTATGGCACCAAACTTGTAAGGTCATGTCTAGCCGGATTTAAAGGCTAAAGAAGAAGAAAATTATTTTAGTTTTAAGAATGAAGGACTGAAGAGGTGGTCTAAGAGTTCATATCAAACAAACAAGAGGTATGAACCAAACGTGGACAGATGTCGTGATAAAGACTCTGTCATTTTCTGTTTCTCTCTGAAAGCCTGACTGACATCTCAGTTGCACCCCAACCAAAAGCATGATACAGTGAGCTAGAGAATGGATCCACTCTGTCAGAAGTGTTTAGCACACTTCAGTCCATCATACATTAATGTGACTGACATTCCAACAAAGTGCAGCCTGATGTCACTTCCCTTTATTCCCAATCCGTTTGGCCAGTTTAGCTTCCAGTTCTGCACTTTCCACACTTAGAAATGGCCTTCAGTCTGAAACATCAAACTGGAAACAGCAGATATCAGTATTGATGGTTTTATTGGTGCCTGGAGTAGTTGTTAATTATACCAATTAATTTTTTTCCCAAACAGTATGTACACCAAAAACTCCTTTATGTTCCAGTTCCATGTAAAAACAATGACATATTGTGCTGTCCTACAATTCTACCAGAGGTATTTGCATATGTCCATCTCTGCTTGACTTACTTAACTAAGCATCATTCGAATATGTGAAGATTTTATAATTATTACTTCCCACAGAGTATTTTTCTTACCAAAACCTGTGAATGAAGTAAGACATGAGAGCTTGTTCACTCTAAATATAGAATGATGTGGTTTTCTTCAGCTGAGTAGCCGTAAGAAACCGATTTCAGACTGAAAATTCTCTGTGTACCCTGCATTCCACCAGTGATGCTAACTTTCAACATCTGTATGAAATCCGAGAGTCTCCATTAAAAAACAGGCAAGAGCTATTTGAATGTCGTCACTTTGGTTCAGACTTCGTACAGAGGAATGAGAGGTGGGTTCAGAATTTGATTCATACTGTATTTATGCCAAAGGAGGAAAAATGTTGTAACTCATGTCATCTAAGTCTCTTTAAAGAGTAATTCTGGTTGATGATTGCGTCGGTAAGAATAATCTCCAGTAGGAGCCTTATTTAAAAAGGCTTCTGACTGACTGAAGGTTGTTGCTGTAAAATGGTAAATGACTTGCATAGCACCTTATCAAGTCCAGAGGCCTGTAAAGCACTTCACCACATTCAGTCATGATGGAGAGGAGCCACGACTTCCAGAGGTGAGGCTGCCAAGCACCTGTGCCACCAGGCCCTCTGACCACTACTTATAGGTGAAGTGTCATGTTACTGCAATGTTGCCCAAGGACACGACAGTGGTGGAGCCAGGGGTCAAACCAAAAACTAAACAATTGTGGAACAAACTCCTACCACTATCACCACCATTATCCCAACATTCATGAGTGTCCTGACATGCTAATGGCTTAATTAGCAGGCAGCAGACAGGATACTCTACAGTAACATGGATTACACCATCAGTTCTAACCAACGCTTGCTAATCTACTTCATTTGCTTTTGCCAATCCTCTTTAAATCTCTGTTTGGCTGTATGGTCAGAAAGTGAATGGTCAGGGTTATGATCAATGAAAGAGATGGTTTGAGAGAGAACTTTTTTACTTCAAGAAGACGTCCAGCATTGCCACCTGACCTAGACCTCATGCTAATCCTTTGCCCTGCCAAGTAAAATTTTCTGGATCCATCTCTGCTGCTTGTCAACTCTTGTTGAATAAATACAACTGCATCTCAAAACCTGTAAATATGCAAAGTTCATTTATTCAGTTTGAATAGTGAGAGTTGCATTCATTACATGAGGCATTTTTTTGTCTTCATTTTGATGATTATGCATTACACACCTAATACAAACTTAAAATTTTGTTTCTCAAAAGATGAAAATATTACATGAGTTGAATAATGAAAATGTAGGATGATGAAATATGTCTTGGCCACACAATCATGGGAAAGTCTGGTCAGTTAGAAGTTGTCATGCAGGCAGCCATTAACACCATTATCAAGAAGGTTAGGCTGTAAAAGGTCATTGCCAATGGCAGTATGTGTGTGGATATGTATGTAAACACACACACAAAAAGTATATATATATATATATATATATATATATATATATATATATATACACACTTTTTGTACTACTATTACTATTGTAAGGACAGGAATATGATCTTAAAGACCTGTTGGGAACTGAAGGAAACTTCGATGATATTTATAGATTAAGGAAAGCAATATTTATTTATCTTCATAATACAAAATTAAAAATGGAGTTTAATAGCTGTAAAGTAGTGATGCTACATACTCGTGTACAGTAGGTGGCGGTATACACTGAAAGTTGTTTGCGATCTGCCACAATAGGAAGAAAAAGAAGAAGACGACGAGGATCTCTCCAAAAAGAAATTCCTGCTTGAAAATGTAGATATTTCTCTTACTTTTAAGTCCGACTCTATAATGTTCTTAAGCGTGGTCAGAGTTAGCTGTAGCAGTAAGCTGCTAGTTCCTCTGCGACGTTTTGCTAGCGCCATGTAAAGGAGTCTGGCTGGAGCTGGAGCAGAGTTATATCTCCGATACAAGTACCGACTCCATGGGTTCATAGGTATGTACTCGTTTTGTAGAAGTACAACAAGATGTTGGAATCTAGTTTTTTAGTAGAGAGGATGCTACAAACTCTTAAACCAGAACTTTTCGACATATTTTTACAAGAGGCACGCGCTCACTCCCATGTAACTGCAGCTTTCTTTAATCCGTTTTGCCAGGACTGTCATTACAAAAACTATATATTTTGTGGTTTAGTTTGAATGTGGTTTTCTGTGTGTGTGTGTGTGTGTGTGTGTGTGTGTGTGTGTGTTGGTGTGTGTGTAGTCCCTCATTCTCTCCATGTCTCGTCCTATCAGACATGAGCTGTAGTGTCCTGGATGAGGAGCAGTTCCGTCAGTGCTGCCAGCTGCTCCTTCAGCGCTCTGACCAGTTGGGGGATGGCTGGAGCTGGGAAGCCGTTCAGGTGAGGAGGTTGTACTTCCTCTGTCACTGCGCACACAGCTGAAGAGTTAAAAGGCATTATGGTATTTTCTTAATACAGGGCTCAGAAGAGGGCTACCTCAGAAAGACTGCACTAAGGTCAGTTCCTAGTGACTGGGGTCCACTTCATGACCAGGAGGGGTTTAGTTTCCACCCACAGACTCTATGTGACTCTACTGGACATGAAAAGGAAGAAGTAAATACTTGTTTTACTTTGAAGCATGTAAAGATCACAGAGTCAGACATACTGAGCTCCACTGTGTCTGCTCTTTCACAGCAGGACCCAGTGGCCTCCACTGGTTCTGACTTCCTCAGAGCTGAAGAAGAAGATGATGGTAGCTGCACAGGGACTAACAGCAGCAGCCTGGTGGTTCAGTACGAGTATCACATCCTGTTCTCCTGCAGCTACGGAGCTCCTGTCCTGTATTTCAGAGCGTTCACTTTGGGTTAGTCACACAGAAAGCAGCATCTTACATTCACTCTGCTTTTTAGCAGTGCATTAAGTCGACATTTTTAGGAAGCAAAATCATTTTTTGATTAAAGGTTTAGAGTTTTCATAACTAAAGGTTCTATAAGAGTGCTTGGTTATTCCCGCCTGAAACAGCCCCCTCCCTAGCCTCTGAAGAGAAAGTCAAACATTAATTTTTGACATTTATAAGGGGAGTATTAAAGCTTGTTGCAATAACTCCAGTTTGACGTGAACACCAGCTGAATCAAATCATCACCGTCCTGGATCAGAGCAGGCTACCCACAGAAGCGGGTTGGTCTGTGCTGACTGGAGTAGCCAGAGGAAAGTCATCTGCAGGCATGATGAAGATATAGGAAATAACAGCAGCAATGATTTTAGTTTGCAACCCTTTCTTTGAATGTAACATATTAGATTATTTTTTAACTTGCTGTTTTTGGATGTAAAGAAACTGAAAATGGCACAAGATTTTTTTTAACCACAAGCACAAAGCAGATCTCCATTCTGTCATGAGAAACCCAAAGAGCAGCTCTCAGAACTCCCACTCTTGTGGCAGCTTGTTGGAGTAGCTCTGTTACATTATCTGCAATCTATATTTTTTATGTTTTTGCAATTGGCTGATCAAAGAATTTACAGGTGATGCAGTTCATGTGTAAATACGCTACTTCATAGGAAGATCAATAGTCAGGTTCTGTCAGACACAACAGACAACATAGAAATGGAGATAGAAGCTAGTAGAGTCTACTACTATTAACATTATATTACACTAGAGCAGGGGTNCACTTAACCAGGTCTTTATCTGGTTAAGTGTTTATAAATGAAACTATGAATGACACGTACCTCTGGTTGGACTGTGTGATCCAGTAAGTACTTCTATAGTTCTCTGTCCAGTCCAGTAACAGCTATTTAGGGTCTAATCTTAATCTGCAATAAACGGGGCGGCAGTAACTGGTTATACTGCCACAGAGCTCCACTAGCATTAAAAAGAGCTCCCAGCGCTGCCTGTCTGACGTTTCTCCCAGCGTGTTTTGCTCTCTAGCCAGGTGTTCTGTCATCTGTAAATAAAAACTGTCAGCAGTGCATTTGTTTTTATCTTGTGAATGTAGTAATCACTTGTTAGAGCCTTGAACAATTTTGCTCGTACAATGACTCTTTGGTGTATCACAAACAGGATTTTTTTAGTTAATATGAAAATTACAACATATTTAGCCCATATGCAATTAATCTTGAATCCCTTTAATTAAAAGTCATATTTGGCACCCAAACTCTGACTCCAGTTTGCTCAGTAGTACATCAGGCAGCCACAGTGGTTGCTTCTTTCCAATCGAAGATATACAGTCCATTCCCGCCCCCTCAGCCTCTGAGTCGCTCTCTTAGCCAGACCTATTGGGCCACAGTCTGTCATTTCCCCAACCAGACCCAATTATGCTTCCGGCAAGCCAAAACCCGACAAGTTGAGGACGCCAGTGAAGCCAGAGCTGGTCTAGACTGCATGTGGATTGGACATAGGAGAGGTTTTGTGCGTTAAAGAGTGTATTGGCAGATTTTTACATTTCCCACTACCCACCATTTGGGTTATGCATGTAGATCCCTTTCACTGCCAAGCCAAGATTTGATATGCAGGGACCACCTACTTCCTCTGCAGTTACTAGAACGCCGGGTCTTCATTGCTTTTGATCCCTTAACTTAAAGACTAACTTATGGTCAGTCTAGTGAAGGATAACATATTAGAGACAGGGTAGAGACCATACATGTGGACCTCATTGGAAGGCTTTCTACATTGAGCTGCTTAATTAGGTGGTATGTTGCAAAAAAATATTCACATATTTTAAAATGAGGAATCCGCCTATTTGTTATTGACCTTCGTTACTGGATAATATTCTGCCAATCTGAGTTGACATATTGATGTATAAACTGAATTCACTCTGCACTCATTCATTATATGGGTTTTTTCATTTGTATAATGTCCTCAGCATTCCAATTAAAATAGTATTCCTTCTGTTTTCAAGGTGATGAGGGAGGTGTGTGTGAATGGAAGTGCAGACCTCGATGGAGCTGCATCTGGATTACCTGTCCTCAAAGCAGAACTGGAGAAGGTAAAAAATAAAACCCACATGTTCTAAAGATTGATGGCGTTGCAAAGTATGTCTGCTCTTTAAGCATGTTTTCCCGCCTGATAGTTCAGTAGACTCTATTTGATTGGGGACCAAAATTGCAACATTTGTAAAATTTTTGCCTTGGTATTTCAAGTTTATTATTCTTTTAAATAATTTTATTAGATATTCTCTGTCCTAGTTACTGTTTTTGAACTAAACTTAATTTGGTGACATACTTGATAGACGGGGCAGAATTTGGTTTTCCACAAAAATCTACATTTTTTCCCATTTAGGCAAGAGGTGGACAGTTAACCAAATCGGTTGTTACAGCAATAGATGCAAAGGTTTCCAGAGCCGTTAAAACATGAAGTGCACATTTATCACTTGCCTCCTGATGTGTTTGCAGCAAATATGAACTGTACTGCAAACCCTTGATAAGTTAACACTGCAGATTGAGAGTCGGCTTTATCAGCCAGTTCAACCTGCTACAGAAATTCCTGGAATTTTTATGTTGTACATTACGTTTAGATTGCAACTTTGGCACTGTTGTGCCTTTTTCAACCCTTCAGTATTGAGGAACTATGCTGGTTACTCCTCTTTGAAGCCACTCCTCTTCTGCTTTGGTGATTTTCTGTTGACAGAGAACATCATCTGACCGGCCGAGCTCAGATGGTGAAGCAATCCATGAGAATGGACACAGTGACGGCAAAGATCAAGGTGAGAGTCACAGGAAGTAAACAATGTGGAACATTTCGGTTGACTTTAGCAGCATGTAAACATACAGTTCATGTCATCGGGGCACGGTAAAGGGGGGAAAAGTTAGGATAATTCCAAGGGTCCCTGACCGACAGAGGGCCCTCCACAAAATAATTTTGTGTTTTTCTTCATAGAAATAGAAAAAAAACTGGGGCCCTGTCAATTACAAAATTAATTATATCATGTTCTTTAAATTGTTTTCATCAGTAAAAAATAAATATTACCACTCAAAGACCAAAACGCACACATTCATATTTGCACTGAAACCCCAACGACCCTCTGGATCTGCATGAAATGGTTCATTCCTGCTTGGCATGCTTGACAGTGATGATGTTCAGCAGCAGTCAGTAGAAAACAAGAAAGACTGTGGCATTTACTATGCTGCTAAGAAAAATAGTAAAGTCAGGTTTACAAAAAGAGAGAGAGAGAAAAAGACAAGACTGTCAATCTGGAACCAATTTTTTCTCTGTGAGGTGATTAGGCTGTGTGAGATTATCAACCATTTAGCACAGTTAGCTTAGCTACAGACTGTTTGCCTCCATTTCACTACCATTTAAAGAAGCAAGGAAACAAAAATCTATCAACATATTCATATATTTAAGTTGTCCCTGTACCTTTTACCACACTTAACAGACAAGTCAGTCAGCAGCAGCTCTAACCCCGATACCAGCATAAGCCCTCACCCCTGTCCCAGTGAAAAAGGTGAGCAACACTGTGTTCAGTGACAAGTTAGTTAGTGTCATTCCAATGAGTCTATGCAGATTTTTATTGTCTCACTGCTCTTTTGACAATTATACAACAAAACAATATATTTATTAGTGACAGGAATTCAAACAATCTTTATAAAATTATTATAAAAAACAGCCTCTTGTCAGTCCAGATGGTCCTGCCTTAGCTTGCATTTAAATTACAGATATCTGTTGCCACGTCCCTCCTGACCCGTACCCTCTGTAGAGAATAAAATCATTAACTTCTGGCTCGTTATATTCTCTTGTCCTCCCAGATTCAGTCAGTCAGTCAGTCAGTCAGTCAGTCAAATTTTATTTGTATAGCACATTTCAGCAGCAAGGCATTTCAAAGTGCTTCACATAATTAAAATAAAAGCAGCATGTGACATTGAAAAAACAGTGAGAAAGAGAAAGACATTTTGAAAAAGATTAAAAAAGATAAAAACATTAAAACCCACACCCCTTCTAGGACTTCAGTTAAACGTCATTTAACTGGGGCTCTAACCCCAATGATCAATGATCCCATGCGTGGAAACAAAAGCCACATAGAGATGACAGTCAACGCTCCACGTTATACATTTTCAGAGTTTATTCTAACATTTAAAAGTATAAAATCACATTGACAACACAGACACTTCAAACACACTAAAACAGACATTCATTTACCTGAGACAAATAGAAATGAAGAAAGACACAAGGAAAGAAAGAAAGGAAAAGACATCTTTGGGGAGTTGCAAAAGCAAATCTGGTTTGTTCCTCACGTGCACAAATTTTTATAGCAAAGGCGTATTCTTCTCTTTAATTTATTCAAATAAGGTGCATCTTTGTTCATCCAACCAGGAGCTGTCTCGGATCCTCTTAAAAGTTAGAAACTCCCTACAATTTGTTTTCAAGATCAAACATCAGTTGTCCCTTTATCTAAACAAAGTGGAAGCAGAGCTTCTCCTCCACTGGCTGAACTCATACTGTTATGTGATCTGTGAAAATGGCTTTTCACAGATCAGTGTGAAAGCCGGAACTTCTCCTGATTCTTTCCCACACAGACAAAAGGCAGATCAAAAGATTTAGCAGGCAATCTGCTATAGCTACAGGTAACCAAAAGATTAGTCCAAAAACTATATTTAGGCTATTTCAATCAAGACATGTCGTTAACAACTAGGAAAGATTACAAATTAGATTGTGTTTTACAGATATTCTATGTTGCATTCAGTTTTACACCAGCTGTTTAAATCTTATCAAGATGGTCAAAAGGTTAAACTCACACAAACAGCCATGACCCCCTGTGAATGCCTGCTCAGTCCACAGAGGTTAAGAACTGTGTTTTAAATGATAGAAAACTAAAACTAAACTATTTTAATTCAACTTATTGTGCTATATTTAATAGAAACATCCTACAAATGAGATGTGTACTGGACCATGGAGACGATTTAGAACCAAATTTTCTTATTTTAAAACGCTGTTAATTTTATATAATGTTGTACATGTGGTTAAGTTTTAAAACTAGCATATTTTAAATTTATTTTCCTAACACCTCCTAAGTGAAATTAAAGCTGCAGTATGCAACTTTTATTAACAAAAAGCACACATTTGTTAAGACTGTCAATAAATTGAGAGATTACCTGAGAATAATTTAATTCCTCTGCCTTCCTTCAGTGCTCTCTAGAAACAACCAATCAGAGGCAGGAGGTGGGTTTTAGCGCTTTCAATCACAATCTTTAGCCGTCAGTAGAAGATCAGGGAGGAGCTGGAGGAGATTCACGTTTTCACAGTTTATCTGTCTCATAACAAACTGTCACGACAAGAAAGCAAGGCAGTTACATGCCTTTAAGATTGTGGTGCTTTTTATGGGTCCAATAGACTCAAGAAATTGTAACAGCAGGGGGGCCCAATTTAATTTTTTGTCATGGAACCCAAGTTTACTGGCAGTGCCCCTGCATGTCATCACTGAGTACACAAACTTTTCCTGTAAAAGTTCTACATTTGAGAGAAGATAATGACTGAAATCCGTCAAATCAACTTATAATAAAAATACATTTACACAAAAAATAAGCACATTGACTGATTTGCTGCTGGGATTGTTTCCTCCTGCTGAAACTCACACCAAAGCAGAGAATCTGTCAAAGCACACCAATTATTTACCATCAGCAGGCCAAATTCATGTGGAAACAAGTAGCACTTTGCTTGTCTTCTCAATTATTTGGGTCGTCAGCTGAATGTTAACTCTGTGCTTTTGTTCCCTCTTCTTTTTGGTTGAGTTCTGCTACATTGACTCTGAAGTGCATTTCATCCCAGATGCTGAATGTTAATGTTTGTTTTTTCCTGTCTTTGCCAAATCATCCTCAATTGGTTCAGCTTATTACCCAGAAACGTACAAAGCAAACATAACATTGCTCATTTTCTGTCAAATCCCATCATGATCAACCATGTTCTTTTTGTAAGGTGTCACACAGAGTACCGATCAACTCAAGTAAAAGTTTTCTTTCTAAATAGATTTTACATCAGTTAATAGCTGGAAGAACAGTTTATCACATGCCACCTGCATGCAAAGCTTTACGTACAGTGCACACTTCAAACCAGAAGCTTATGTAAACTGACTAAAAAGACACATTCATCTTTTTTTCACTTTCTGAAGTTACACACTTCTCTTGTTTTAGGTCTGTTAAAATGACCCAAATTCTATTTTCTAAATGCAACAATAATAAGAGAAAAATATGTCAAAGATTTATTTGCATATAAACATTGAAGAAAAGGTTAAGATGTTGTCATGACTTTGGAAACTTCTATTAGGTTAAAGCTGCCGAATAATTTTGATAATGTTTTTTTTTTCATATTTGTTAAAACTGTCATTATGTTGTGACACTTTGCTATGAGATGGGTAATCTGTGGTAAGATCAATTTCCTCCTCATCCTTCCTGAGCTACAATTGCTGTCTGAAGAAATGCATTGCTCCCAACAACAACCGATCAGAGGAGGAAGGTCTTAGCAATGCTGCTAAATGTGCTAATGGTGGAGAAACAACTTACCATTTCAGGAAAACCATTTGTCCGCTGTCATCGGTGGTCATACTAACTAGTCCGAGCATTCACAAGATGCCATGCTAGCTGCAGCGTCCCAGAGAGCAAGTGGGGCAGGGGAATAGAGGATGAGCACCACCAAATGAGATTGTGAAGTCTAGTTCATCCTTAGGAATAATTTCCAGATTCTTGAAGGTGCCACGTTCTTCTCAAATAAGAACATGGTACAACATGCAATAGAAACCATAGAAATTTGGCCTATAATTGAGATTTGCAGTCTACCAGCTAACCGCAGGTTAGACAGAGGGAAGCGAGGGGTATAAGTGGACACTGAGTCAATGTGACCCCGCTGAGACACACACAGGGTAAGATGGCATTTTGTTCTAATGCAGACGTCGTCAGAATAATGCACACATAATATCTTCTTGATTCTTTCACATTAAAACCCAGCGCAAACCCCAGTTTTCACTAAACAAATAGACCAAGCTGCACCCCAAAGTCTTGGCTTACTAAATGTCTGCTCTCCCTCCAGCAGAATGAACCCAGTCATGTTTTCTCTTCTCTCTTTATATTAAAACTGGAACAAACCAACTTGTTGCACTACTGGAGATTTTTGGATTTAAAATAAGCAAAATTCACAGATGATGATTAGCTTTTGATTATAAACTTGCTCTTTGTTTATAGTAATATTTGTGGTATCTCTGTTTCTCCTTGCTGTCCTTACTGTACTGATTTAGTAATCCACATAAATGAGCAGGTAATATGTTTCTATAGTAATTCCCCAAGCTTGAATTATTATATAGTAGTGAATGTTCTGCAGAGGTATTTCAACTGAAACAATGCAAAGTTTTAATTATTTTTGTTTTAATCACTAACTGTGAATTATGACACAAAAGCCTTGATTATTTCAGGAAAAGCAAAGAAAAACTCCAAATCAGAGCAGAAAACTGGGACTGTTGGAAAGGGAGCCAGCAAGAAGATCACCAAGATCATCAGTCTGGGGAAGAAAAAGCCATCCACAGATGAACAGACTTCATCTGCAGAGGAAGATGTTCCTACCTGTGGTAAGACTGGGTTTCATTAATCACATTTAGAAAATGTCTTCTCAAAGGCATGACTCATGTCAATTCCATGTTGGAAGGCCCTGTTCATCAATGCACTGATGACTTTTTAGTACCACATAAAACTTTCAATTTCCTGTTTTTGATATTCACATTTACTCTCAACATTCTACTTCTGCTTTTGTTGGAGCCAGGGCGCAAAAGTTAGGACAATTCCTAGGGCCAGTGACCGACAGGGGGCCCTCCTGAAAATAATTTTTTAATTTTTCTTCATAGAAATAGAAAAAAATTGGGGCCCCGTCATTGGTGGTCATGCTAACTAGCCTGAGCATTCACAAGATGCCAGGCTTGTGAATGCTCACAATGCTATGAGATGGGTAATCTGTGAATAGATCAATTTCCTCCTCATCCTCCCCTGAGCTACGATTGCTGTCTGAAGAAATGCATTGCTCCCAACAACAACCAATCAGAGGAGGAAGGTCTAACTTTTGCGCCCCTGGCTCCAACAAAAGCAGAAGTAGAATGTTGAGAGTAAATGTGAATATCAAATTAAACATTAACAATAACTAACAATATTAGTTATATCGTGTTCTTTAAATTGTTTTCATCAGTAAAAAATAAATGTTACCACTCAAAGACCAAATACACACATCCATATTTGCACTGAAACCCCTAACCCCCTCTGGATCTGCATGAAATGGTTCATTCCTGCTTGGCGCGCTTGATGGTGACGATGTTCAGCAGCAGTCAGTAGAAAACAAGAAAGACTGTGGCATTTACTATGCTGCTAAGAAAAATAGTAAAGTCAGGTTTACAAAAAGAGAGAGAGAGAGAAAAAGACAAGCCTGTCAATCTGTAGCCGAGGTGGTTAGAATGTGTGAGATTATCAACCATTTAGCACAGTTAGCTTAGCTACAGACTGTTTGCCTCCATTTCACTAGCATTTAAAGAAGCAAGGAAACAACAATCTACCAACTTATTAATATATTTAAGTTGTCCCTGTACCTTCCTCGTCCTCCACTTGAGAGCAGACCCATCAAATAATTTCTTCTCTCAGCAGTTCCTCTCCTCCCCACCTCACTCACGTGTGTAACAAGATCCTGCCACAATTGAGGAAAGTCTGACACTGTTTGCCTCATAGGAAGCTTTTCCTTCTCCTCCTCACACTTGCTTGCTAAAACAGCCGTTTTGTCTGTCAAACTGTCAGCTTTGTGTTCCCCCCTGCCGCCGCACTGCTTATGCTGCTGCATAGATGCCCTGTCAGCTAGCTAACAGTGTTCACTCGCCTGCATGAACAAGCCGAGTGAACACTGCAACGCTGGTGTAATGCAACACAAAACACAAATGCCAGTGTTCACGTTAGAGGCTGTCATGAAGCCGAGTGAACAGTTAGCTAGCTCCACCATCCTGGCTGTAACACAGAGGAAGCCAACCTGCTGCTGCATGACATGGTGTATATCATGTCATGATGTGAATTATCAACTGGTGTTACACCATAGTGACAGAGTCACGTATCTTGTAAAATGCCGCTGATTCTACCAGTTGCTACAGTTGAATATCTATAAAGCTTCATGGCATGATGCGAAGCCGAAAGATGCCGTCAAGAATGAACATGACATGGACTAAACACCAGCGCACACTCACTCCAAGTATGGAAAGAAAACTCACTAGGCTGGCACATCTGAAAGTGAATATGTACGAAGACATGTATAACCTCTGTGTGTCTTGCCAATCACCGAAATAAAATTGTATGTTCTCACCAAGTCTATGCGTGTGTATGCATAAAAAATTAATAATAAACCATTCTTCTGTCACACAGCTACTCTGTAAATTACTTATCCTGTACATAAAAACAGGGTGAGGTCTGACACGTATGCGCCAAAGTACACTTCTGGTTTTACATTGCTAGTGCTAATTAGCATTAGCAATAATGCTAAGTATGGCTAATGCTAAGTAGTAATAACTTTCTGCTGAATAGGTCACGATGGCATGCTGTAAGATGCGTGGTGGTAGGAAGGATACAACAAAGAACAATGATGTTGTACGATATTCTCATTTATTGGACCATAAGAAACTCGCGGCACAACGTACGATGCAACAGCTAGTCAATGTGACACCAACAGCCACACATTCTACATGTCTTGATATAAATTATGAAGTGATTTTACACTACAGTGACAGAAGACGAATGTAGCTTGTAAAATGCTGCTGATTCGACCAGTTGCTATGGTTGAATCTCTTTAAAGCTTCACGTGTCAAACACCACCACTCTCTTCACATGTGACCTCCATACGTAACGTGGTCCGTCGAGAAAAGAACAAGTGTGATACAGAGTTGTCGCCAAACTGCACAATGACTATTTGTCGTCACCTTTCAATAAGGGCCGTGCAGAGACCACTAAAGGGGCAGGTGCTCAAAAATAAAAGGGACACATCTAACCGCATTCTANAGTAGACGTTCTGTGGGTCTTCAAAAGTTTCTTGAATCATTGTATAACTGGACTGTTATCCAAGGCTTGTGAGTTAGCTGGTTTTAGCTGACCAGCTAGTCTGAGCTCTAGATTTTCTCTTGAGCATCATCGATCACTTCACTCTTCACAACTGTATCTCTGCTGACTTTGAATCCTTCATGACTCCTGCAGCTAGTTGTTAGCTCTCCTGCTAGTCTGTGCCGCCATCTGTCTGAACTCTATTCTACCTCAGCTGGAGCCAAACAGCTCAAAGTAAATCTGCACAATGTTTTTGTCTGACTGGCTGTGTGGCAGAAAGCAGCACAGTCCAGCTCCTGTCTGTGCACAGCCTCATCATTGTCCTGCATCAGAGCAGAGACAGAGGAGTCACTTCAGGAGTTTGACTTCCCGGCCTATTGAGGTGCAGTTATCTGTGAACAGAACATGGCAAATGATGTGTGTTGCAGAGGATTTACATTTGACCTTGGGTGTAATTTAGTGCTTTATGTGTTTTTTGCTGTTCTTTCTCAGAGGGGAAGAGCCTGGCATTAGAGGAAATGTGGAGCACCATCCACCCAAACTACAGGCTGCGTCTTCAGAACTGCCCTCTGAATGCAATAAGTCAGCAGGTAGGAACTCCTAACCTCCTCCTGGTGCCCAGAGGTCTCTGTGAAGCTCTGCTGAAACCTCATTCTTAGTGTGTGTGACAGGAGCACCCCTTGCTGGGCCAGCCGTTCTTTTTCCTTCACCCATGTAGAACAGAGGAGTTCATGGGACTTATGCTGCAGGCTGCTCAAGATCAAGGCAGGTAGGGTCATGACCTAGTTCCTAGTTCTCAATCCAAGAAAGGCCCACTGCTTAAGAACGACTAAGATGATGACATTTTGCTGATGATTCTATGCTCTTCCTGTCCACTTTACCAAACTCCTCACTTCCACCTTCCTCCCTCACTTCCTGCTCAGCTGAAATGAAATCCTTGTTTGCATCAAACTTCCTTAAACTTTTCAGTAATAAAACAGAAAACATGATGTAAGATGTGTTTTTAATAAATCCTGTAGCTGTGTGTGTTGAGTCAGATAATAAAGCTGCGTAGGTTTAAGTGCATGTGGTGTCAGTGTTGCTTGAGCTTTCTTGATGGAGTGCAGCATATTGAAGGTGACCTGCAGGAACTTCAGTCAGGATAAATTATGTTGCTGTTAAAACAAAAGTCCTAACACCTTTGCTAAGTGAGTAAATGTAATACTTATGAAGTAAAGAGGGAGTTTTCAGACCTGTTCAGACCAGTCAGTCTGATTTTCAGACTGACTGGTTTTAGGAACAATTATTTTGGGGACTTATGATGGGAAATATTTCAATATGAGGCCAAGTAATGATCAAAGAATAAAAGCTTTCAGTTTCCTTTATAATAATGAGGTTTCATCAGTTTGAAACCATTTTAACCCATTGACTTGTATGTTTCCATGCCAACAGGCCAGTGAACTATGTGCTGTCATGGCTGAGTGTGGTGGGGCCTGTTGTGGGTCTGGATGTTCCTCTGCAGTACTGCACACCGCTCCATTCTGCTGTTTCACTCAACAGCACAAAACCCGACTGAAGCTGAACACACACCTGGAGATGTCTGTCTTGTTTTTTTCCATGTAACTATTTCTAATACCCAAAATAATTATGTTGGTATGGTCATTAAAATGGTTCAAATGAGGGTGTGTGTGTGTGTGTTTCACAAACTAAACTTAATTTTCATTTTGTAAACTGAAGACTTGTGTATATTTTTTTATGAAGTATTGTTCTGGAGTTTTCTTTAGTTCCCAACTTCTGTCAGTAATCAGATTACTGTTATGGAGTCTCTTCCACATTTAGCTTTGTTAACTACTTATAGCTTAGATCTATTTTTATATACATATTCACTGTAGGAAACTTTTAAAGAAGCCCCATTTTATTTCTCTTACATTTTAAAATAAAAAAGCAACAGAACTTTTGGTAAAATAGGATGGATACACACCATGAGGTTTGTTTCAAATGAAAAAGGAACTCCACATAGTTTCTAACCCAAGAAAATATATCAAAAATATATTTTTAGTACTTTTTGAGTCATTCTGTCAATGAAATTCAATGCTACAAATCTGAAACCTGCACTTAGAGGTGCTGGTCATGAAAAAAGTTTATTTAAATCAGTAATTTCATTCAAAAAGTGAAATTTGTATATTATATTCATTCATTACATACAGATGAAGATATTTCAAATGTTTATTTCTTTTAGTGTTGATGATCTTTACTACTAATAACTCCAAATTCAGTATCAGAAAATTTGAATATTGTGAAAAGGTTTGATATTGAAGACCCCTGGTGCCACGCACTAATCAGATAATTAGCTCAAAAAACCTGCAAAGGTTTTTAAATTGTCTCTCAGACCAGTTCTGTAGGCTACACAATCATGGGGATGACTGCTGACTTGACAGTTGTCCAAAAGATGACCTTTGACACCTTGCACAAGAGGGCAAGACACCAAGGTCATTTCTAAAGAAGCTGGCTGTGCACAGAGCTCTGTGTCCACATACATTCATAGAGAGGTGAAGGGAAGAAAAAGATGGACAAACAATCAGGGTAACCGCACCCTGAAGAGGATTGTGAAACAAAATGCGTTGAAAAACGTGGGAAAGATTCCCAGACAGCGGACTGCAGCTGGAGTCAGAGCTTCAAGAACCACCACACAGAGGACCTGGGTTTCAGCTGTCATTTTTCCTTGTCAAGCCACTTGAACAAGAAACAGCATCAGAAGCATCTCAGCTGGGCTAAAGACACAAAGGACTGGACTGCTGCTGAGTGGTCCAAAGTTATGTTCTCTGATGAAAGTGAATTCTTCATTTCTTTTGGAAATCAAGGCCCCAGAGTCTGGAGGAAGAGAGGAGAGGCACAGAATCCATGTTGCTTGAGGTCCAGTCAAAGTTTCCACAGTCAGTGACGGTTTGTCCGTCCACTGTGTTTTCTGAGGTTAAAGGTCAACGTAGCCGCTTACCAGGAAGTTTTAGAGCACTTCAGGCTTCCTGCTGCTGACCAACTTTATTGAGATACAGATTTCATTTCCCAACAGGAGTTAGCTCCTGCACACAGAGCCAAAGCTACCAGGACCTGGTTTAGGACAAAGACATGCCTGTTCTTAACTGGCCTGCAAACTCACCTGACCTGAACTCCATAGAAAATCTCTGGTCTGAGGAAGATGATGTGATACATCAGACCCAACAATTCAGAAGAGCTGAGGGTCACTAGCACGACCTGAGCAATGCCACAGACTGATGGACTCCATGTCACGCCGCATTGCTGCAGTAACTGGGCTAAAGGAGCCCAAACTAAGTACTCAGTGCTGCACATGCTCATACTTTTAATGTTCATAGTTTTCAGGTGGCCAACATTTCTAAAAATCCTTTTTTTGTGTTGGTCTTAAATCATATTCTGATTTTATTAGATAAAGAATTTGTAGTTTTCATTAGTTGTCAGTTTTAATCATCAAGATTAAAAGAAATAAACATTTGAAATATGTCAGTCTGTGTAACAAATGGATATAGTATACAAGTTTCCCTTTTTTGGCTGGAATTGCTGACATAACTTTTTCATAATATTTTAATTTTATGACCAGCACCTGTACATGTATGTTATCAACAGCCATTCTGGAAGGTCTTAGGAGCCATTGCAGGTTACAGACCCAAACTTTAACCATTAAAGTTTAATGCAAACCCAAATATTTAGTAATCTTTGAAGTTTGCTGTACCCTAAGTCAGAAAATCCTCCCTGAAAGGACAACTGTAGATCAGGACAATGCTTTTAGTTTAACAGGATTTAAAAACAGAATTTAGTTCAAATGTTACTAATGGTGTAGTTGGGGTGTAGAGCAGATCAGCCACATGAAAACACTTGCTGTGAGTTATGACAACCAACAGATGGCGGCAGAAGCTCACAGGTGTGGAGAGAAAGACTTCAGGTTTCTGAAAGCTTTCATCTGAATGAAAGTTGATCATTTATGGAAACGACAGGGGGAAACATTTAATGTGCTAGAATATGTCAATAATAAAACACCCAACACTAGATAATCAATATTAGATTTCATTAGTTATTTTTATAGTTGGTGTTAATTGACAGTGTAAAGTCATTTTGCTGATTATGGCTGACAGCTAATGAAAACCATAAATTCAATTGATCATAAACTGAGAACCTTAATCTACATAATCAAAGAGAAATATCCTGATTTGATGATAGTCCAACAGAGGCTCTCCATCCTCAATTGACCATGGCTCACAAACTGTCATTGCTAAAGAAGTTCACAGAGTTCTTTGTCCACAGCATGCTAAGAAAGGTTTAGTGGAAGGAAAATGCATGGTTGAAAAAGGGACACAAACAACTGTGATAACTGCAGCTTCGGTGAGATTGTGAAGCAAAAGCCATTTGAGAGTTTGGGGAGATTCACAAGGTGCTGACTGCAGCTGCAGTCAGAAACCAAAGTCTGAAGGAAACGAGGAGAGTCAGCTGAACCACAGGCTGACCCCCTCCATGCCACACCGCATTAACACAGTAACTCAAGCAAAAGGAGCCCAGACCATGTGCATGTACTGTACATATACTTTGGATACACATTTAGTAAGCTCACAATTCGGGGTTAATATCTTTTTTATATATAACATTAGCCTTCAAAATGTATAGAAACATGTTTTGAATGGATCACCATGAAATTAATAGATAAAATATGAGTTTTACTTTTTGAGTTGAATTACTGACATAAACCTTTTGGAGGTTTACTCTGATTTAACTGTAATCTTCAAACAGAGGCTGGGTTAGTACCTCTTGTTTCTCCAGAAGGAGCCCAGTGGGGGGATGTAGACTCATACTGGTTGTACTGGTGGAGGGGTGTGGGGTTATCATTGATGATGGTAGATCGTCACCTCACGCCTTTAAACTTGTGGGATCTTAGTTCCAGTTTGCCACACAGTCTGATATTCTTCTCCAGTCAGTCACTGACTGACACGACCTGCAGAAAATCTGTAAGAGATCTTTGACCGGACTGAGTGGATTTTCCTGCTGTCAGCAAGTTTCTCTCTCCAGGACTCTGACACATGATGGAAGAAGTCCTTGAAGTAACATTTGAGTCCAGGCAGTCCTCATCCCATCTCAGCAGTCTGCATCCTCTGCCCCCCTCCCCCCTCCCCACCGAGCTGTCCTCTCTGTTCCTTCTTGTTCATTCACCTTGGCTGTCTGGCTCTGTGCCCTGGATTAACGGCCATTCCTTCTTCTGAGAGCAGGTACCCTGTGTTCAGGACAATACAAACACTTTAGATCACTGCAGGGCTAAACTGTGTTGTTATAAAATGTTCAAATTACATCAAAGGGCCCTTAAAAAGGTCTGGAATGAATCAGAACTGTTTAGTGACAGTTATGATCCTCATCTTGACCTTTCAGGAACTGTTAGAACACAGAAGTAATGTGAATTGTGGAGTTGGGAAGAATCCAGACATGGGACATTTCCAGAGTATCATCGTGTTCCTAAAGTGGAGAAGAAGTACTGCTACTGATGGTAATGTTTTGAAGGAACCCACCAGTGAAACTGCAATCCTTTCTCATGCAACTGATTTTATTAAATATTTACCAAAAAAAAAGCTGTTTGATTTACTTCATTTAGTCAATGTGAATGAACACCTGCTTCATCAAATGTAAAATTAAAATTTTTGTGACGACATAAATAAATTGAGTTGAAGTTTGTGAACTATAAACCAAAGGTGTTGATCACAGTAACATAACCTTGGACAGTCTGGTTGGACACAAACGTCTTAAATCACTCAAGTCTAGGTGACAATTAAATGTTCACTCTGCCGTCTATCACACGTATCCTTCTGGTAGCTAAAGACAGTTTCTTTGTTTCTGGTTTTGAAGACTGTGAACAGAATAGATTCATTTGCCACATGCAATGTTTACCCAAAGGATTTATTACAACAGAGATTAATTAAGAAAACCCGAATAAGAAAACGTAGAGGTTGGGGGTGTAGCACAGTAATACAGCAGTATGAAGAGGGAGAGAAGAGGACCCAGCATTATTTGATGAATACCTTCACTGCAAGTATTCATCAACCTTCACTCGCTCCAATAGGATCCATTCTGATCCATTATGTCAAAAGAAAAACACAGTTTTGGATTCACTCTAACCACATCCTTCTTAAAACAATTAGAAAGTGTTCATCAGAATGGTCCACAGTAAGTGTCAAATAAATAGAATGACCAATGAAATTTTAAAACAGCTCCTCTCAAAGGCAAGTCAAAAAAATTGAATAGAATAATAAGTATATGTCAATAAAAATATAAAAATATTGTAGAAATACATAACAACTGGGACATTAAGAAAAATGAATACATAAATGATCAGTTTATAGATGGATTAGCTGTGTTCAGGGTAAAAACAGCTCTTGGGTAGAAATAGTTTTTTTGTGGGGTGTGAGGGGTCCTTGGTGATCAGCTGGTGATCTTTGTCACATGAGAAGCTAATCTGGGAGCTAAATTCCCTCATAATACACATCGCTTCTTGAAACATACATATCAAAGCTGAACTGTTGTTTTTCATTTATTTATTTATTTATTTATTTGTTTATTTGTTTGTTTGTTTGTTTGTTTGTTTGTTTGTTACTAATAGTTCATATTTGTTATTCTTTCACCCTTTTTACTTTTTTAGTCAGTTTGATTAGGTTCTTATTATTTTGTGTTTAATTGAATGTCACTGATCAATTTTTATATTTTGGAGAGAACTTGTTTATTCTATAAATCAGGCTTTCAGTTTGAAAATTCACCTTTTTTGTTCTGTAATATCATACTCCACCAGGCAGGTAATCATAAAACTACAAGTGAGAGTAAGAGCTGTTTGGCTATTAATTTATGATCATCAGGTAGTGGCCTTACTTTTTATTGTATTTAAAATCATTAACTTCAATAATTGTCTATGTCTTTTAGTAAGAGTTATTCAAGGACAAACCAAAACATTATTGTTGCAAAACAGATGCAAACATCAAAATGTGTAAATGTTTGACTCTAATTGAAAAATCTCATTTCGAACCTTTGTTACAGCAGGGAAGATACTGACTAATCATAACCTCTCATCACAACCCCACTTCATAGAGTAAGAGTACGCATCAGTTGCATATTATCCAGTGTACCGTTCAGCCAGCATTTCCTAAACACATTAGAATGTCCTGCAGCAGGAGAAAGACAAGGAGAAATTTTAAAATTACAAAAGCGGCAGAGAAAAAACCTCCCTTGTTCAGAAAGCAGTCCTGTGTACTCATGCAGGACTGACCAGCAGCCGGGGAAGTCAAGCTCCACTGGAGTCTGTGAAGTTAGTCAGCGTGGCCCTGCGGGCCCCTTTCACTCCGGGCTTATCCATAGCACAGTGAGCAGAAGGATTAAAGCAATAAGTGATAGCAATGAGCAGGCTCCAGGCCCTCTCGACCTGCTGTGAAGGGCCACGACCAGAATGGTGTGATCGGGACCAAGAAGAGGGTTCTGTGTGAAGTGACTAGTTTTCTGACTTTGTGTAAACACAGATTTAGATTAAAATTAATTAAAAAATTAAAATGAACCCTTGCTTCACATATATTTGGTGACATTACAATCTAGCACCTATAGCTGTCAAACACATTTCATAATTTTCTGCTTTTTTTCAGGTGAAACATGCTAACTGTTGCACCTTGTGTGAGCTAATATCTGAAAACTAACAACTAATCTCTTAGTCCTTAAACTATTTAGCAAAATAGTAAAAAAAAAAATCTTTTCTCTAAGACATTTTTTCTGACAACCAACAGGATCCTGTCCTGGTCAGGGATAGAAATCCTGAGCAGGTGGACTGACTGTAGACTGGACCTCTTCAAATAAAAGAAACAAAAGAATTCCTACTGAAGATGCTGTGATTTACTTTAATAAGCTTCCATTAGTTTACTGAAACAGAACCTGATGTCACAGTTGTGTCATCTGATGAAGGACAACTGGTTCAATCGTGGTGATAAGATGGAGCAGGTAGGCTGGAGAGAATCTCCCAGTTTGAAGTTACACCTTGGCTTCATTTCCATGACTCCTGAGCAGGGCCGTGCAGAGACCACTGAAGGGGCAGGTGCTCAACAACAAAAAAAGGGCACATCTTACCGCCTTCACAACGGACAGAATAAAGCCTCACAGCTTTCAGAGTTTAATAAACAATGATAAATTACAAAATTGTGAGATATACAATCAAAGCTAACAAACATCTCTATATAGAGCATACAACTATGCATATGTAAGATATTTTATTAGTAATTTCTTTTTGCAGGTCTATTTTGTTATAGGAAAGTATTGCAATATTCAAACCCGCAATTTAGCAGAATATGTAAATCAGAGCTAGACCACCAGACATATTTTGCAGAATTACACTATTAAAAATATAAACAAGGGCACAATGCAACCTTTTAGTGTACTGTAATCTGCAAAAAGAGCTGCCTGTTTGCTACACTTGCAGTGAAGATGAAGATGGTCCATTCAGGAAAGCAAAGCTGCATCAAACTTTAATGTGGAACTGCAGAAAAAATAAAAAAAGCAAAAATTGAACTGTTAATGCATATCACCATGAGAAAAGCCTACTGAGTTTTGCTTAAAATAAAAAAATAAAAAAATAAAAAAAATTAATCAAACATTTTTGACTCATGAAGTTAACTTCGTTTTTGCAAAACAAACTTATTTGTGCTTGTCATAAATCTTTTCTTGCTATTCTAAGTTTTTGTTTGTGACTCA